AAACGAGCAATATAATTTGACCCAAATAAATAAACAAAGCGACTTCCGGTAAAAATAACCGCCATAACAGAATACCCACAATGCACCACTAACCCGTATATATATAAATAGCCGAGAAAAATAACAGCGTATGTGGCCTGACGATTGCATATAGCATGAAACAGACTGTTGCCTCTAAGTGTTGACTTCTATGTTCACTCGTATATATATATATATATATATATATATATATATATATATATATATATAGTTGGAACCCAACTAAATATGTTAGCTCTATCACTGATATTGATCGCTTTCCAATAAGTACCGCGCATATATAATGTATATAATATTACATACATATATACTATATTGGGTAGGTGAAAAGAAACTCCTATTAAAAATTACTTATATCTTTAGTTAATATCACCACATTTGCATGAAATAAAATATATTTTGATCTCTAAATTGGTAGAAGTTCATTGCTGATTACTGCTTTTATTTCAGAGTAACAAGTGTAGCCCAAAATGGCACAACGCCTGGCACTGCATGAGTGTGCTCAGCTACCATCCCATTACGAAGTATGGCAGGCGCAGTGTTCATGGACCTTGGGTTTCAGTAGATATCAAAATCATCAGAAATTGTCCCTCCAAGCTGAAGTGTACGATATCTGTTGTAGAAGCGGCCGTCCTTCAATATCCAGATTGGAAGAAATTGGACAAAAGGTAGAATTTTAGCACTATACTTTATTTCTACCTTTATACTGTTTAAATTAAATCGACCAATAACTTAGTAGCTATTTTAAATAGAAAGTTTCTTTCCACCCACCTATATATATATATATATATATATATATATATATATATATATATATATATATATATATTCTATTCAACAGTCGCCCTATCGCTGCGGCGTATAAGCTAGCTCTTGCTGAGGGCTCTAGATTGTGTCTTCGGCTTGTTCAAGAGTTTGAGAGCTCCTAAGTCTTTGCATATTCTCAGCACTTGAAGCTCTCTTGGCTGCCATTTGATCTGGGTTTTCATTTACACGGAACATTCTTTTCTTTGGCTCTTTTGATTGCAATCTGGTCGTCTGTTGGCGGAGATTTCATTTTGCGAGGCCGTATACGATAGGCATACGGCAACAGTGTAAACTAGAATAGACTACAGAAGAACTCAAAATTGATCTCTGCATTTAAATTTTTCATTAATATTTAAGCTTACCATTTAAAAGTTCAACGATAATTCTTTTGCCGCCACTAAATTTAAAGATAATTTGATGTACGTAGGTACTTACTTTCCATACAAACAATTATTTTTATTTCATGGGTGACTTTCGCTGGATTTCGCAAATAATTTCGATTATTCCCAAATTTATTTCCAAGTTATAAATATTGTTATTATACAAAAAAAATTCGTCGCCGAAAACAATCGCCGTAATGAAAACTTCAGAATCTAAAATTTCTGTAATATGAACTATTGAGAGAGTTGTGTCCCTTTAATTGAAAAGTGTAACAATGTGAAACACTGACATTACCGTTTATTATATAGATATATATATTTTTTTCAATTTGAATATTATTTTTAGTGGATACTCGTTTTTTAAGTAGACGCAACGTTTATTTATTAAACTATATATTCATACACTTTCGCCTACCGGCCTGAATGTTCAAAATAGCTTCTTAAAGGAATATAGACGCTCTCTGACAGCATTCCGACCTGCGTCCCACTGGACAGAGTGAGCTACCGTTAAATCCGTAACGGGCTGATTAACTGAGCTATAAAACCCCATCAGGCCGAAATTGTAGCTTTAAGCAAAAGTTCTCTCGTCATAGATCTCATGATATACATAACTTCAAATTATGTCTTTGTAATTTACCCTTGAAGATGATTTGGGAGGAGATCAAAAGTACTTGGATAGGAAAAAACTACGGCGCCTTCCTTGATGAATTACAGCGTAACATCAAAAAACTGATAAGTGAAGAATAGACAAAATATGTCTATATTATTCAATTGAGTATGTTTAGATGATGATATGCTGCCAATATATATATATATATATATATATATATATATATATATATATATATATACATATATATATATATATATATATATATATATATATATATATATATATATATATATATATATATATATACATATATATACATACATGTACATATATATATATATATATATATACATACATGTACATATATATACATATACATATATATATACATACATGTACATATATATATATACATGTATATATATACATACATACATATATATATATACATATATATATACATACATGTACATATATATATATATATATATATATATACATATACATATACATATATACATATATATATACATATATACATATATATACACATACATTTACATATATATACATATATACATACATATATATACATACACATACATACATATACATATATACATACACACACACACACACACACACATACATATATACATACACACACATATATACATATATACATACACACACACACACATATACATATATACATACACACACATATATACATATATACACACACATATATGCATATATACATACACACACACACACACATATATATATATATATATATATATATATATATATATATATATATATATATATTCTCAAATTAAGGAGGAAGAGTAATCAATTGGATTGTGCATTTATTGTTCCCTCGTGATTTCCATTTAAGTAATGATTATTATTTTGTAACCATTTTCGAAAGGGATGCAATACACAGCCATTAAAAGCATTGTGTAATCTTCAACGACAAAGTTTTCCCTAACATTTCGTAAAAAAATATTAGCAAATAAAAATGACGTTTCGGCCTTACGCATGACACGAAGCAGCAAATAAGCACACATTCCTTAGACATTTTCCCGTCACTCTACGATTGTTATCTGTACCATGTAACCCAGTAACTACCTGCCACATTGTAGGGTCATCGGCGACTGGTTCTCCCACCAGGCTTTTTCTGGTGAGGAGAGTAGCTAGGCACACATCAGAATTAAAAGCAAAACCTGAAAAAGATCGGAGGGACATTCTTGGAGTATCACCGGCCATCTATCTCAGTGGGGTAGAGTCGAATCCATCCATAGCTATGTCTGCGTTAAGGAAAGGGCATCGCCGGGTGGAGGGCTCCCTTGAGAGAAGTCAAGGGATAGGTTGAAATGTTTCCCCGATTAAATCAACGGGTACGTGTCCAAGAGCAAGGTGAGCCTAGTAGATAGAGGACATCGGCTGTGCTTTGGACCCGGAGGGTGATTAGCCCCGCCAGGTCTATTTGCTAAGCATGTATACCTCCTCGGCTTTCAACCCTTTTCTGTAGCGGGAACTGGCCAGGTTTAGCGTTTTTTTGCTTTTGAAGATTACACCCCACGCACAACATTAGCCTTCTTCCATGGAGCTCAGCTTTTGGTGTCGGTCGTGGAGACTTAACCTTATCAATGCGCTGCCGTTTGTGTTGAGAATTGTCGTATGTTGGTACTCTCCAGATTCTTAGCTTCCATATATGGCTAGTAGTCAGAATGATAAATTCGTCACTGGAATTGCTTTCCAAAAACGGAAATTAGTTATGACTCGACCTAATGTACGGCTTATTCAATAAGGCTTGCTGTATAATAGGAAAATCCGCGTAATGTGTGGGATAAATATTTATACCAAAAGAATCACACACACTCTCACACACACACATACACACGGTGTGCGTATGCGTGTTTTATTTACGTATAAATATTTACCCGACTCATTAGTGAACAAATAGCGATTCTACACAGAATAGTCTGAAAGACGAATTTGCTGGAGAGTGGTGGGGGAAGGTCATATCCATAAAAATAAATTCAGGCCAATTCCCTTATAAACAAACAAAAAAACAGAGATTTGGTTATACAAATGGTAATGGTAATATTATCTATTTCCTTATAAGGAAACATTCAGCTTTCATTAGCAGCCACTGCTACTTTCGGTTAAAATTCATAAAATTTCCGCAGAAAACAATTTTTCAGGAAAATAGGTTTCTGAAGTTCAATAAGTATTCTTGCTCTTTCCCGTAGTAATGGCGGCTTTTTCCCTAACCACTTGTTTGAAATAGTGTGGAACATCAAAGTATCAGGCCGAAAAAGGAGTATTGCTAGCATAATTGGGCTGGAGCTACCCAGTCTTCACCTTCTTTCGTAAACGCTTCTGAATTCGGGGCCTTGGAGTGATTATTTCCCACCATACAACCCCTTTCCACGCAGATGGTTCTATCGTTATTTAAGACGTTCGAACAAGCTATATTCCTTAGTTCCAACAAATCTGGTCCTCAAACCCATTACGCTGCATACACTGAGGTGAACCACCTTTTGTATTCAATTGGTGAGAAAAAGGTTCCACTTGAACAGCTTTTTTCACGAACCGACACTTAGTGAAACCATCTGTCCAAGAGGACGCTTTTCCGACCTCTAGAATCTTAACCTGTTCAAGTCTAGGGTTAACCGTTATCTTTCCATTATATTCTCTCTTGCCTCTTACTTTTACCGCTCACACAACAAACTCCTTCGGTAACCCTCAAGTGGCTTTGGGTTTGGTATAGAGTGAACATTATTTGAAAAATGTTAACATTTTCTTGTCGTGATAGAGATGGATGCTAAAAATGTCATGGACTGAGCATATAAATAACAAGGAAGATTTAATGAATATGAGAGACAATAATTACACTTAGATTCAAAAAAAGACAACGGAAATTTCTGGGACATATTATGAACGGGAGAATTTAACTCTCACAGGACATAGTGAAGTCGCAGAGAGAGACGGCGAGTAACCCACCTGACGATTTTCTGTAAAGGGCCGACAGAACAAGAGAAAAACGAGATAGAAAAACGTCAAAAGTTAGATCAACAAAAGACAGGAAATTGTGGAGAGCTAGATCGACAAAAGACAGGAAATTGTGGAGAGCTAGAATCGCAAGCGTCTTAAAAGAACTTGCAACATAAAGGAAGAAGAAGTAGCCAAAGATAAAAGAAGAGAAAAAGAAAGCATTTTTTTTTTATTAAGAAACTTGGTTCGGTAAACAAAACAGAAACGACAAATGAAATGGTGACCAGTGAGTAAGAAAGAAAAGAATGGAAGAATATTAAAGAAAGGAGAAAAGGCCACGAGAAAAAGAAGAAAGAGAGAAAAAAAAGGGGGAGAGAGCTAGAAAAAGAATAAAGAAAACAAAGAAAAGATGAAAGCAAATACCACAAAAAAAAAATCACAAAGCAAGTGGATTCTATTCCTGTCAATTTTCAAGTTAATCTTTTAATTAGTGGACTGTCCACAAGTGATGCTATGGTGATATTGGTAGTTGAGCAGTGGTTACCCTGGCAATGGAACGGAACCTGTTTTGTAACCAATTCTCGTTTTGCGTATGCATCAAAATAAAAACAGTTTTTGTAATTCCTTCATAGGATTATCTGAGGGCTGTAATCTTCTTAAAGTAGCAGAGAGAGACTTTCTAATTGGGCTGAAAGAGAAATGACGACAAGATTAATTAGAACAGAATAATTGGACGGCATTTGGTGGACTTGTAGAATTGACATTAGGGGCGGAACCAGAAGGGGTTGGGAAAACGGGTGTGAATGAAGGTGAAAGAGACTAAATATGAAGGCCAGTTAGAAACAGATAGACAGACAGACAGAGAGAGGGAGTGTGTGTGTATGAGAATGAATTCAAAGACAGAAAAACAATGAGAGAAAGAGAGTACGTGCAATTATACTTGAATCAAAGCAAAATAGTGATGCTTTAGAGAGAAGCCGTAGAAAAGTCAAAGACAAAAAAAAAGATGTAAGAAAAATAATTAATAAAAGAGATAAAGAGAGAAGACAAATTAGAACACTGAAAATGGAACAAGAGACAGGTACAAGGAGCTAGAGACTGGTAAAAAAAACAAACGGGAAAGAGATCTAGAGACAATTACAAAACGGAAAAGAAGAGAGAAACACACAAAACGGGAAAGAGAATGAGAGACAGGTACAAAACGGAAAAGGAGTGCGAAAGACAGGTACAAAACGGAAAAGGAAAGAGAAACACACAAAGCGGAAAAGAGAGCGAGAGAGGTACAAAACGGAAAAGGAGAGCGAGAGACAGGTACAAAACTGAAAAGGGGAGAGAAACACACAAAGCGGAAAAGAGAGCGAGAGACAGGTACAAAACGGAAAAGGAGTGCGAAAGACAGGTACAAAACGGAAAAGGAAAGAGAAACACACAAAACGGGAAAGAGAGCGAGAGACAGGTACAAAACGGGAAAGAGAGCGAGAGACAAGTACAAAACTGAAAAGGGGAAAGAAACACACAAAGCGGAAAAGAGAGCGAGAGACAGGTACAAAACGGGAAAGGGAGCAAGGGACAGGTAACAAAACGGGAAAAGAAGAGAGAGAGATATAAAAAACTGGAAAATGAGCGAGGAACATATACAAAACGAGAAAGAAAGAGAGATTGGTACTAAACGGGGAAAAGGAGAGAGAGAGAGAGGTGAAATAGGAGGAAAGGGACAAGAAAGAAGAACAAAACAAGAAAAGGGAGCGAAAAAGAGTTGCAAAACGAAACAAAAAGCGAGAAAGATGTACAAAACGGAAAAAGTGCCAAGAGACAGATGTAAAACGGTAAATATAGGGACAGAGAGAGATAACGCGAATGACAAGAAGGAATGAATGAAAAGTCATTACGAAGTATTTGTGAAATTCCCTTGCTAAGCATTAACCTGAAAACAGATGCGCCATGGCAGATAGACATATATATATATATATATATATATATATATATATATATATATATATATATATATATATAAGTGAACATATCAACACTTAGAGGCGACAGTCTGTTTCATACTATATGCAATCGTCAGGCCACGAGCACTCAGGCCTGACGATTGCATCGAGCACGAAACAGACTGTCGCCTCTAAGTGTTGACTTATGTTCACTTTTATATTTACACACGCTCTATCTCTGATATTGAGCACTTTATCCCATAAATATAGCACATCTGAAGACTACATTTATTCATATATATATATATATATATATATATATATATATATGTGTGTGTGTGTGTGTGTGTGTGTGTGTGTGTGTGTGTGTGTGTTTAATTGAATTTTTAATCTGTTATTTTTTAGTAGGTACACGTGTTTCAGTAGACCTGTTATTTTAAACGATGGATTTAATCTCTAGAGACCAAGATATCGAAATGTCCTACTAAACAAAATTATGCCTCTCGACAGGAATCGAAACTATATACCCTTTTTTTACCAGGAAAACCACTCTAAAATCGACCGTGGAATTACTAATTCGGCCACGGGAGGCACATTTCTCTTTTGTAGAACTTCTCATCCTCTCAGCCGGGTTTCACCGTTGAAAATAACAGAAATCTCTACACAAACACGCGTACCTACTAAATGTAAAGTAATATCGTAATAAAAAATCATTTCGGATTCAAATAAAATATATTGATTGCTTATAAATTTATTTTGTTTACGTTTTGGGAACGAAAATAAAGCTAACAGATATAGACTATGAAATGTCTCAACGGCAGATGCGTAAAGAGTGCGAATTGGTGCTTTTTCCTTTGGCGGTTGGACAGTGTATCGATCCAGCATCTTATAATAAGAGTAAGTAAAAATAGTAATAAAATAATAATAGTGAAAACGCTTCATCTAAAAAGCAGTAATAAGATGAAATAAAAGTAGTAATGAAATAATTGTTATGAATAATCAAGAGTGGTTTCCGCTTGTTTTGTTAACCTCCTCTTTGAGTGGGCTATTTCTGTTTACTGGGACTATAAAAGGACACTATACGCAAACCTTGTATTCTTAGTTTAATAAAGCTTTCTTAATGCTTACAGCTGCGTACTTTTGTCATTACAATAATAATAGAGGAAATGCTTTATTTTTTTAAAAAAAGTAACGGAGTTAAAACTAGTAATAAAATAACAATGTTAAAAATGCTTTGGTTTAGTTTGGTTTGTTTTACGGCATATTAACCTCAATGGTTTATTTAATACCGACAAAATTTTTATTCCTGGTAATATTTTGTTTTGTCAAATTTTTTCCTTCAAAAATGTATTGCTGGTAATAGTTTTTTTTCTTCAAAAATTTATTGCTGATAATAATTTTTTACAAAGTATTTCCGGTATTAAAACCTATTTTTACACCTTCATAATGCTTTTTACCTCAATTTGGAGGGTTAACTATTTGCCCATAGCTGGGACCCTAACAGGTGCTACCACCCTGGGTCAGGGTGGACCTGGGAACACCTGCAACCAAGAGATGGTTCCACACTCCTCAAAACTTCCTCATCAGAGGCCTTGCTGTTGGACGTAGTTTATCGTCTTACCCTGGACGCGGATGTGGTTTATTGTCATACCCAGGACGTCCCATTGGGTGGGGTGGGGGGTCTTACCTCTTTGCAGAGGTGCAGACGGCGTGATTCTACAGCCCCAAACGACAGGGCGGTTAAAAATGCTTTATTTAAAAAGCGAAAATAAGATGGAGAATAGATAGCACTGAAACAATAGCGAAAATATTTAATCTAAAAAGCAGTAGTAAGATGAAATAAAAGTAATAATGAAAGAAGAACAAAAAATGATTAATTCAAACATCAACAATTATAACATGGAGTAAGACTAATAATTTACAGACTCTCAACATGTTCGATGAGAATTTGTCACATCAGAAGTTTCTTTCTTCACAATGTCATTTTTTTTTTCCAGCTAATAGTGTGTTTATGATACAAAGCAACAATAATATTTGATGAAAAACTAGTAATAAGATAATAATAGCGACAATGCTACATCTAAAGTAATTTCAAAATGAAGAAAGTATTTCGGAAAATAATGAATCATGACAAAAAGGGATGAGAAAATAGAAACAAGGGTAAAAAGGAGTGGAGAGTTACGGCAATCGGAAAAAATACAATACAATAAATTCATTTATGTCATCCTCGTAAATCGTAAACCTACAAAAGTGGGTCAGCTGATCTAATAGGAAAATTTTTGACTTTATAGACAATTCGGAAACGTCCTCTAGTCAGGAATTTAGGAATGGCCGTTCAGCTAACACATTATTCAAAAAACAACATGACATCAAACAACAGTCACTTCATCATATATATATATATATATATATATATATATATATATATATATATATATATGTGTGTGTGTGTGTGTGTGTGTGTGTGTGTGTGTGTGTGTGTGTGTGACTAAGTGGGATTGTTTTTGAGCAAAAATTCCAGCCGAGACCTGAGCATTCAATTTCAAAAACAGACCTTTTAGAAAAGGCATGGATCGATCTCCCTTACCCAGTCCGCAGCTAGAGAGTAATAGCAGGTTAGACTGGATTCTCAAGGTTTGGTTGGTAACCGGACTAGGACAAGACAAGAACCACTGTGAATTCAAAAACGGTTTGTCATGAGGTTTCGAAATTTACAACGTAAAAACTCCTTTATATATATATATATATATATATATATATATATATATATATATATATATATATCAGGGCACGTAATCGTGTGGTTAGAAAGCTTGCTTTCTGAATATGAGTCCCTGATTCCCCATGTCCGATTTGTCAGGAGATTTCCTCAAGTTATCTGTCTGGAGGAGGCGATGCCTGTCTGAAAACCATACCTGTGGGTTGACGCTTGTGCTAGCACGAAGTCACAAGTCAGCGTGACCGAGGGGTTGAACGTGCTGGCCTTGTTCTGATTCATATATATATATATATATATATATATATATATATATATATACATGTGTGTATGTATGATCCGAAAATATGTGTATATACAGGATACGTATATATAATATATATAGAAATAATATATGAATATGTGAAATATACACACACAAATATATATACACATAATATATATATATATATATATATATATACAAATATATATATACATAATATATATAATATAATATATATATATATATATATAATATACACATAATATATATATAATATACAAATATATATAATATACACATAATATATATATACAATATACACATAATATATATAATATACACATAATATATACAATATACACATAATATATATAATATACACATAATATATACAATATAATACATAATATATATATATATATATATATATAGAGAGAGAGAGAGAGAGAGAGTGAGAGAGAGAGAGAAAGAGAGTGAGCGAGAGAGGATAGCCAGAAAAGAACAAACCATTAATGAAAATTTCCAAAGATTTGAACGTTCAGAATACAATTGCATCTGTTTATCCCCAGCAGGCCTCGTCAGTCACATGAAACATCAAATAATTAGATACAGATATCACTCTCGTCTTAACAACGATCTTACCTGCACACACACACACACACACACACACACACACACACACACACACACACACACATACATAGTGATAGAGAGTCACCCACAGTGGTAAATCATGTTCCAGTCAATCTGAACTGTACAGACACTTGAAACTCCATAACCGCTGAAATTGCGAACCCACGAGGCACACACTCCCGAATGATCAATGGCCTACATCTGCCGTCTGTGCAATAAATCTT